CAACAGGGAAAAAGATTGAAAGTAAAAGGAAGAAGAGTGGTTTCTACAAACTAGTTTGCATGACTTTAGGAAACAGAAAGGAAAGAATAAAATGGAAGGACAAAAAAAGGAATCAGGAATGTACTCGATAAAATATTCATCAAATACTTGTATGAGTGATATGCCATTTCTGACAAAAACACAACTTAAGATGTAAAGGATTAAACTATGCCTCCCTTTCTTTGCATTTCATTTGGTTCTTTCAAACAGATTCCAACACAAGATCTTAAATCTCCTAGTCTTCTCCTTTCTTCTACTATTGATTCCTTAAATCCAAATATACCCAAAAAGTAGCAACAGCAGTGAAAATTTGGGAAGAAAACCAGCTACAAAATGGTGATACAGAAATCAACTTCTGCTTTCAGTCTTTAAAAAGAAGTCAACCAAAACATTACTATAGACAAACATCCAAAACCACCTCTGCTATCTATCTCGTGTCAATTTATTGGTAGTATCAGCAACACAGCTCAAACGTTCCTTTATTCTTCCAGGAAGTTCTACATACATCTCTACAAGTCTATTGTAAAACAGCCTGATATGGCAGTTGACCACATTTCTTTACTGCTTTCCAAGACTATCTATTGAGTTCAAGAAATTTTCTCTCTCTCATCTACTTCTAGTTGGCTATCTATTGAGTCTGAGAGATTTAGATTTTTTATTTTACTGGTCAGAGAGAACATTTATGCAAAGATATGTCTTGAGATCCTATTCCATTCAATTCTAAATTTGTTACAAGGATATAGGTAAGGCAAGTAGCCAGCAGATATCAATATAGATCAAGCTAACATAATTCTTTCATTTTTCATTCCAAACATTCTAGGCTGTCTAGCCAGTTATACACACTTTTGAATTGTTGGCCCTGTTTGGATGGCCTGTTTTAGCAAAATAAAATTTTGCCAAAACACACATCTACAGTGATCCTCCCTGAAACACTCAAAAAACACCAAAAAACAAAAAGAAAAAGAAAAAGAACATCTACAACACCCCTCCCCCCAACCCTCCCCTGACCACCATCCCTCCGCAAACCCCTGCCACCCCTCCTCCCTGCACACCACCCTGACCCTCCCTCATCTCTCTTCCCCCTTATTTTCCCCTCTATCCTTCTTCCCTCCTCCTTCCCACTCCCTCCAATCATCCCCATCCCCCTTCGGATCTATTTCAAACCTGATTTGGAGGGTGGTTGGGGTGGGGGAAGAGGGGAGTGTGGGAACGAGAGAGGACAAGGGAGATGGGGGAGGGTAGCTGGCAGAAAGGGAGAGGGAGAGGCAGAGGGAGAAGGGAGGAGGTGGTGGATGGAGGGAGATGGCAGTGGAAGGACGAGGAGGGAAGGGAAAGAGGGGAAGGTGGTGGGTAGAGGGGCATAAAAATAAATTTCCTATCATACTAAAAACCAAACCCCAAAAACACATTAAAAAACTCCTAAAACATCACTTCAAAAACTTTTATTAAAACACCCCAAAGCGGACCCAATGTTTTAAATCACCAGGAATGAGGAGAATATTGCCAGCATCTCTTGCTAAACATAAACAGGTATATAATGCTTGGAGTACAACTGAGACTATTGCACTTTATATTCCCAAAGTAACAGATCTTCTACATAAACATTCACAAACAATAAGTTGCTCTTAGCAATAGTCCAACATCGTCTGCACATCATATAGACCACATCATATGAAGGATGAAATTGTGGACCACATTCTTCGAACCAAACAACTCTAAGCTTCAAGTATTGGATAAAATATTGTAGAAGTAGCTACAGTCTCAATAAAGTTTCTACCGATGTGTTGAACTGTATCGTGGTTAAAGCGACCTAAATTGGAGCATTGATCCCACTGCACCACAATTCTCAAAATTTCCTCTTCTTCTCTCTTCCACTTCTTTTTCTTCTAAACCTTTTGCATTCTTAAAAAATGGGTCCACCCCCCCTCCCCAACCCTCTTTAGCTCATTTACTTGGATTGAAAGATACTAAATGCAGTTTGGTTCAATAAGAGCTTGTTTGACATTGCTCATCTACCAGTCAAAGCAAGCTTAAGCAGGTTTTACTGTTTGCTGACTCTATAAGCTCGGCTTGAATCAGCTCAAGCATAAAACTTGAAATTTACATGAAAGTAAACTAAGCTAGTTAAGCTTGAACTGAGCTTGGCATGAATAACAATCAAGCTGAACCCTAACATGATTTCAAGCTTGTTAAGGAAAAGCAAGCCAGAATAAAAATTACAATATTTGGCTCTGAGTAGACTAACCCTAAGACCTACACAACAAAGCCCAGCCATTTCCCAGAAGCCCTACAAAGAGAACCACCATCACCAGAGCTTTTACATTAATAACTTCAAGCATCAGAAACATTAACTGTTCAGTAGTTTGCAGATAAAGCCTGGGTACAACTGGAGATCATGTATTCCCTATTCTAAGTGCAGCAAATGCGGGAAATGTTAAATATCTAAAATAACTACACAAAAACGACATTGATTTCTGTTGTGTTTGATGTCTTCTGATAAGGGATGTGAATTAGAAATATTCTCCACTAATAAGCATGTGTGGAATCATCAAAGTTTTTTACTGTTCTCACTTTACAGCAACAACAACTATTAATTACGTATACCTTGTGGAAGGAAATACTATGTACAACAGTAGATAGACTCAAAAACCAACTTCCTCCTCCAGCACAAATCTTAGAAACACACTTCTCTTTTACAGCATCCAGCTTCAACTGATAAGAAAAGATCGACATCCTAACTCCTTGTTAAAAATTAAAAAAAGAAGAAGAAGAAAAAGAAAGAAGAAGAAGATGGGTGTTAGTAGGTTCTTCTTCTAGTAATCAAGAGGGCAATCATGTGTGGCAGGATTCTTATGCACCTAAACTTCTTTTGATGGGCTTAGGACCTTTCCCATTACCTTGGTAGTGAATCGCACCACGGCGAATTTTACAAATACTTCAAGTAGGATAACCTATTCAGTATCTATGCATATGAATGCACGTCAAACCAGAAAGCGTTGAATTTGCAATAAGATTTACATTCTGTAGCCAGTCCAATTTAAGCAAAATTTCAATCACCAGCTCACTAATATTAACTAACAAAAGTTATGAAACACATTTAATACTTATGCATATCATCAACATAAGACACGTGTAAAATAAGGATGAGTAGAACCAATAACGCTTATAATGTTACCAGCAGCCTACAGGTCATTTCCAACATTTCCAGGCTTATTGAGTCCATGATCACAAAATTCAGTCTCCATACACTCCCAAAAAAAAGTTGCAAATTTCTACTTTATTTCTGCCCAAAACTCCAATAATATAATCCTATATATCCAAGAATTCATACTAGAACCAACAAATAATGGGCAATAGAGAGAAAGAACTGACACCCAAACTAATTGAAGCCCTAAACTTGATAACAAATTCTGAATCATGCAAAAGACACACACGTAATTTCCACATTTCTACTCTCTTACAGTCCAAAATACCACAATTATTCATCTATTAAAGAAAAATCATAACAAAGCCTCTGAATATTAGAAGACAAGAAGAACCCAAATCAATTAAAGACCAAAACTTTATTTAAGAACATTATTAGCCTTACCGACGGATCTTGTTGCCTTTACCGACTTGGTACATGCCATAGGAAAAAACACCAAAAGCGGCTAGGAAAATGGCCATGGCGCTGGGCCCTGAATTGGGGATCCGTCGAGCGTATCTAACCGGGGCAAACCCACCCGGTGGTGGGCCGTCCTGGACAAGCGGCATATCCTTCACGCTTGCCATTCCGGGTTTGCCCCTCACCACCGCCTCCGTCATCTTGTCTCCGATCTCCTACCGTGTGTTTCTATGTGTGTATTTTTGTTTATTCTTGTGTGTGTGTTTTTGTGGGCTTTGTGCTCAGCTGAATGAGCGAGCGATGACTAGAACTTTCTTTCCTTTTTACATTTATTTCATTTAATTAGGGACGAATTGAGAAGGCGTGGAATTCTGTGCGTCAGATCTGCCACGCCTGCCTTGTGCACTGATGAGTAGTAAACAGGCTGAAAGACGAACAAATTTTATTCGATAGTTTGGATAGAGTATTATTTGGAATAATTACTGTAGCATTTTTGTGATGTGATATATGTGAGATAAAAAATTAATTAAAAATATAAAAAAGTGGGTTCAAAAATATGTTTATAATACAAGCAAAATATTTTTTGAAATAATTTTACTATCCAAACACTACTTTAAAAGTTACTTATCCCAAATTAGAAGATGAGTCATCCTACATTATCAACTTCGTACATTAAGGTATACATCTTTCATATATACGAGTCTTTTTCCTTTAATCTCTAATATAATCTCGTTGGACTCTCCTTCCCTCTCTTAGATTATGGATAATTAAATACTGCTGCTTGAGGAAAAAATAACTAAATCTTGTCTATAATTAACTAATTGTCGAATCAAATCGAAATGAATTCTCATTGAACCAAACTCAATTTGCACCGGGTGGGAGAGCTCCTATTCCCTGTTCCATCCCAGATTACCTGTCAGAACTCAGCAATTGGTTCCCAAATTCAGCAATTGATTGTTCCAATTGATCGAGGGATTTTGCCCCAGGGAGCAAACGTTGTCGTTCCATTTAATAGCCAGTAGAATTAGTAATAAGTAGGACGACGTCGTTTAGCTTATAACAGAATTAGTTAACAGAATTCTTATTCGGTTGCTTCTGCTTATTTGTAATGCGATGATTGGTGAGGAGGTTATCAGATTTTATAACAGAATTTCCTTCTTTTTGTTACTTTCTCTCTCTAACTCTCTCCCTCTCTCAATTCTCTCTGTTCTCCTGTGCAATTCCGTCTCAAATCTCTTCTTTCTCCCCTTAATTCTACACAAATTCAGGAATTAACTTCAATTTCAGTCACATATGGATTCTGAGGCCTGACAAGTGGTATCAGAGCAGGCTGAATCCTTGGAACGAATCAGGATCCATGGCAGAGAGCACTAGGTTCAAAACCTTGGAAGATCAAATCAAGAAGCAGGAAATCAGACTTCAAGAAGTAATTGAAGGTCTGCAGGCATCGCAAGCTCAACAACAGCAAATGCAGATGGAATTTCGCTCTGGATTGGAAGATAACAGTAAAAGGATGGAGAATCTGGTAGCTGAGATGAAGCAGGAACTTAGCGGCTTCATGAGAGCTGTAATAGGCAAGGAAAGAGCTATCTCTGATGAGGAGCGGCCGAGGATGGATCAAGCACCTCTGTTACCAACTCCACCTCCAAATCAGAGACTCCAGCTGGGGACAGACAACAGTAGAACTGCGAGGAGAGAAACAAGTAAGATTCTGGTACCCAACCCTCCCAGAATTGATTTGCCTATGTTCAGTGGTGAGAATCCGAGAGAATGGATTAGGAAATGCAATAAATACTGTTTAAATTACCAGATTCCTGAAAATCAAAAAGTAGAAGTGATAGAAATGTATCTGGAAGGCAGGGCTGATAACTGGTTCCAGGGGATTAGGCTGGAAAAACCAGATCTGACTTGGAGAATGTTTGAAGAACTGTTATATAGAAGGTTTGATAATAGAAATGGCCGGGATGTGGTAGAGGAATTTAATAAACTTAGGCAGTCAGGCAAGGTGGAAGATTACCAGGAAAAGTTTGAGGAGCTAAAGACCATGATAATGATTAGGAATCCATATCTAGATGAGGAGTACTTTGTATCCAGTTTTATCAGTGGACTTAAGGATGAAATCAAAACTATGATCAGAATGTTGAAGCCTACGAATCTATCAGAAGCATTTGAACTAGCTGCACTACAGGAAGAGGCTCTGAGGCTTCAAACCAGAACCTTCAAGGAGGGGGGTAAAACTGTCCTTGAGGATAGGTTGGGAATTTCCAGAAATTCATCCCCACACCAGGTCCACAGCTCTCAATATAGGGTGCCTTCCACCAGCACCTTTAGAAACACCCCATTCAGAGGCAAACCTGTATCCACGGCAGGATCTGAAACTAGGAGACTTTCACCAGAAGAATTACAATACAGGAGGAACAATGGACTTTGTTTTAAGTGTGGAGAGAAGTTTGGCCAAGGCCATCAGTGCAAGCCTGGCCACCTGAATCTTCTGGTTACTGAGGAAGAGAAGGAAAATGAGTTTGAGGATGCGGTAGGAGAGCAAGATGAGTCCACTGGAAATCCAGGACAAGTCATGGAGATGTCCTTACATGCATTATCAGATGCCATGAAAAGAAAAACAATAACACTGGTAGGAAAGTGGGATGGGGAGGAGATGCTCATACTTGTTGACACAGGGAGTTCAGATAGCTATATTAGCAGTGAGAAGGTGATTGCATTTGATATTCCTTATAAGCTAGTGGAACCGTTCTCTGTGATTGTGGGGAATGGAGCATGTGTGACTAGCAAAGCCATTTGTCCCAAGGTCACATGGGGAATGAACCAGCACCAATTCTGTTTTGATCTCAAAGTAATGGATTTAAGTGGTTGGGACATGATTTTGGGAGTGGACTGGATGACTCACTATAGCCCCATCACTTTTGATTTCCACCAGTTAACCATATCCCTGCATAGTCAGGGTGAAACGATACAGCTAAGAGAACAGGCTGAAGACTGTGATTTGGACCTTATCAGAGGAGGTGACCTGAGGAACTTCATTGAATATAAAAAAAAGATGTGTTTGGCCCTAAGGATGTGTCAAGACAAACTGTCAGAAGAGTCTGAAGTGCCTGCTGAGGTTCAGGAGGTCCTTGGAAATTTTCATGATGTCTTTCAGACTCCTGTTGAGTTGCCCCCTCCCAGAGAGATAGACCATGAGATTCCACTGAAACAGGGAGCACAAGCCTTCAAAATGAAACCATATCGTTATCCTCATTCTCAAAAAGGGGAAATTGAGAAGCAAGTGAGAGAAATGCTGCAGCATGGGATAATTATACACAGCAACAGTCCTTTTGCTTCTCCAGTGTTACTGGTGAAGAAAAAGGAAGGAACTTGGCGCTTCTATGTAGACTACAGACGTCTGAATGAAATGACCATTAAGGATAGGTATCCCATCCCAAATGTAGATGAGCTGATCAACGAGCTGGCAGGTTCAAGGTACAAATCCAAACTGGACCTCACTTCTGGCTATCACCAGATCAGGGTCAAACCTAAGGATACCCATAAAACTGCTTTTCAAACTCACTGTGGCCACTATGAGTTCCTGGTCATGCCATTTGGGCTGACCAATGCACCAGCCACATTCCAGTCTCTCATGAATCAGATATTCGAGCCATACTTAAGGAAGTTTGTTCTGGTTTTCTTTGACGATATTCTGGTTTACAGTGCTACACTTGAACTGCATCTGGAACATCTGAAGATAGTATTAAGTGTCTTGAGGAGGCACCAGCTATTTGCTAAGAGATCCAAATGCTCTTTTGCCCAGCAGAAGGTGGATTATCTGGGCCATACCATCACTGAACAAGAGGTGTCCATGGACCAATCCAAAATAGAGAGTGTCCTGAATTGGCCAAGTCCCCAGACTGTTAAGGAGTTGAGGGGGTTTTTGGGGCTGACTGGATATTACAGAAGGTTCATTAGGCACTATGGGATCATTTGCAGGCCACTAACAGAACTACTCAAAAAAGACAACTTTAGGTGGAATGGGGAAGCACAGAGAGCCTTTGATTCACTGAAACATATCATGTGTGAAGCCCCTGTACTCAAGTTACCAGATTTTCAGAAGACCTTCACTATAGAGACTGATGCCAGTGGTGGAGGAATTGGGGCCGTATTGATGCAGGAGGGTCACCCTATAGCCTTCCTTAGCAAAGCTCTATCAACAAGAAACTTGGGATTATCAGCCTATGAGAAAGAACTGTTAGCACTAGTGATGGCCGTGAGCAAATGGAGGCACTTCTTGCTGGGATACCACTTTGTGATCAAGACAGACCACCAGTCCCTCAAGTATTTGCTAGATCAGAAACTCACTACTACACTGCAGCACAAGTGGTTGGCTAAATTGCTGGGATTAGATTATGAGATACAGTACAAGAAGGGGTCAACTAACAAGGTGGCGGATGCACTATCCAGACTGTATAATAGGGGTCAAGGGGAACTCCATCAGCAAGGATCCTGCCTGGCCATTACTTCAGTCACGCCCTTGTGGATACAGGAATTGCAACAGAGTTATGATGCTGACCCTCAGTGCCAGAGTATCATCTCCCAACTGCTCCTGGATCCTACTGCCCAGTCACAGTATGAGTGGGATCAAGGACTGCTGAAATACAATGGTAGGCTTTATGTGGGAGCTGCCAATGGCTTAAGGGGCAAACTGATTCAAGCTCTCCATGCTTCTGCCATTGGAGGACATTCTGGACAAAGAGGGTGTTGGCACAGGCTGAAGGCACTGTTCTATTGGCCTAATATGAAACAGGAGGTCATCAAGTTCGTTCAAGCCTGTGACACCTGCCAAAGGTTTAAGTCTGAGCATGTTCCCTACCCAGGCCTGTTACAACCACTACCTGTGCCTCAGTCAGCCTGGACTCACCTTATCAACCATTTCATTGATCCTCCTTAGCTTTTTCAAAAATTTGTTGCTCAAGAATCATAGGCTTGGAGGTATGAATTCAGAATGAAGAGAATATAAGGTTTTAATGGATTTTGTTAGTATTTTTTTTGGTCCCTTGCTTTTTTCTTGATTTCTTTGGGGGCTTTGTTCAAAAGTTTATGCATAAGAAAATAAATTCTCCAATTATGCTTTTCAAAAACACAATCTATAAATAATATGATAACATGAATATGTCATGTGTAATTTATTTATTCTATTAAATCTTATCAATTTATAAAGATGTGGAGGAAAAATCCACAATTGTTTAACATACTCTCTACCTATTAAAGTCAACATTTTTGTTGTAAATAAATCAATGGCACTGTTTATTTGTGTTCATATATACATGGTACTTCCATATATCAGGTTACAATGTACAATCGATTACAATGTCTGTTTTTACAGGTTTTGGCTGGCTTTGCTCAATTTCTTTATTCTTTATTTTGGGTATGGTATAGAGTTGGATTAGTGTAATACTCCCTCAGTCCCGTTTTGTTAGTCTTGATTTTTTTTTCACACAGATTAAGAAAGTGTAATTAATTTGGTTGGAAACATAAATTTAGATTAATAATTTCCTAAAATATCCTTATGCTAATCACGAAGAGTGCCAATTAATATCAGTTACAGCTAATGGGTTAGTATTGGAAAAACTCAATGTATTCAATGTAGTGGGTTAGTATTTAATAACAATGTATTAATAACAAGATATTTAATAAGGGTATTTTAGACAATTTGAAAGATTACTACATTTCTTAATGGGAAAGTGGACTACAATTTGGGACAGACGAAAAAGGAAAACAAGACTATCAAAATGGGACGGAGGGAGTACTTGTTTCATGGTTAACTGGGCCAATGTAGTTCGATTTTCAAAACAATGTTCAATGATTTTAGTGCGAAAATGATATGCCACAATTTTAGTATTTTTAATTCTTCTTATACTAGATAAGTATAGGTATGTGTTACATAACATTCATTTTTCACTCTTTTTTCTATTTTCAAATGTACCATCTAAAAGAGCAATTTATACCATCAGAAAAGGTTTAACTATTAAGGTATGTAAATATGCATTTGTGTTTACAAAAATATTTTAAACACTAAACACGCACCAATTAGTGCTTTTGACATCGAATAATTGGACTTGATTGCTAAATGAAAAAGATATGACACAACCAGAAAAATAATCTATTTATTGAGATGCATGAATTGATCCAAGCCATATGTAAATCATTGGGCTTAGATGAACATTTAGATTTGACTATACCGGACAATTGGACAGGTTGATATTGAGTTTTTATTTGAATGGGTTATACCCAATCCGCCCAACTTTAGATTAAGCAATTTTGGATTGAATCATATTGGATTATCTCAAACCCATGATCCAAATATGATCCAAATATTAATTAATATATTGTAATACATAAACTCTCTCTTATATATTTACACACACAAATTTTTTTTCACATGCATAAACACACTTTCACACACACTCACTTATTAAACTCCTTGAAATCACATCATAAATAGAATAATATTTTATATTGCTTGATTTGCAAATTTTAGATAATAAATTGTACATTTAAATAGATTAGCCAAAAAAATTGTTTACTTTATACTTTTTAATACTACTAATTGATTGAAACTTATTTTGTCACATCTTATTTAACACCTTTACTATTCATATCTGCTTTATTGTAAGTTGTAATATTTTATGTATTTAAATTATTGAATGCTAGATTATATTATGCTTGAAAATGTAATTAAGAGACATATAATTTGTTGTATTATAATATTAATGAGGAATTATTAACAATGAAATAAAACAAGTTAGAGAAAAGTACAAGAATGCAATTAGAACAAATTTAAAACTCTATTCTAAGTACAGAAAATATTAAAAAATGGAAAAAAGTAGCAATCAGAGAACACCAACAACAAAAAAAAAAAAAAGAAAAAAGGGAGGAAAACAACATACTCTTAAAAGCTATAATAAATTATTATAGATGTTTAGCAAGTTTGACTACTGTTGTAAAAGTAAAATAAGCAAGATTTTTTCAAGTGTCTTTTTTCTTTTAAGTAAAAGAAAAAAATTGATTGAAAACATATATATGAGAATTTTGAATACAAATTGGTCAATGAATTTTTAACACATGTCCAAATGCAAGTGGTTAGGCATATGTATATTAAATATTGTATTTATTATTTTGAATTATTTTTAAACAGGTTGGGTATTGGGTGTCCAAATAAAAAATCAAACCCGCCCACTGAATAAGTTGAGTTGTTTTTACTCAATCCAACAAAACTCATAACCCAATTGACCCAACTCATTATTTAAAATTAATGTGCGGGTTGGGTGGGTTGTTGGGTTTTGGGTATTTTTGCCCGCTCTAGATCTGACTAAATGAAATTTGTTTGTTTGTTTTTTAATTGTCAAAAAGTTTTTAAGTATGGAAGTTCTTTGGCACACCACAGTTGATTTATATCGACATTGTTTGACACATCTATATTACAATTGGCCGCACACCTCTTCTCCTCTCTCCCAATTCAAAGCTTCTCGTAGTAGTTTGATGCAATCCATGGCTTGGAATCTCATCAAATTTCATAGTGGCATTTCCAAAAATTATAATAGGCCGAACTTCTTTGTTCTTTAACACTGCACAAAAGTACTTATTGGTTCAATATTTGTGTTCAATATGCACTCAAGGTTTCTTGATGATCATGATAAAAAAAAATGATTTTGTTATTCACTGTTCTTCCTTTTCTAAGAATTGTATAAAAATTATAAACAGAAAACAAGAGTAAAGGATTCTTCAAGTTATAAATTCGATTGCATGCACTCCTGCTCTTTTAACTGCTCTGGTTGCTAATTTTTCACCTTCTTGAGCAAAATTTCTTATCCCAAGTTTTTGACATATATAAAGTTGTAATGTTCTTTATGATTGTTTGATACTTTGATACTTTATGTTCTTTATAGATGTCAAGAATGTGTCAGATTCTCGCCGAGCATTCAAACTCTAGGTTTCTATCCTACTTGACTCTAAGATTTTCAATTCTTGGCACACGATTGTACTTAGTAAATTGTAATCAACACTAGATTATGAAGAAGCAAATTTTTTATTTAAAATCATAGTACTAATTTAAAGGTAAATTTCAAGTTATATTTGTTTACCGAGGAAAGTATTTTGTGCATATTTATCATCATCTTTTAATCACTATTTCTAGGTGTACTGATTCTCAGCTGTTAATTACCGTATATACGAAGTTGTACCCATTGCAAATCGTTAACTGTGAATTCAGTCGAATTTATGGCGTTCTTGCCTTGCTTCAGGTTAGTCCTTTTGTTTGCCAAGCATTTTACTCCCTTAACATATATGAAAATTGGGCATTAATATTTACATTTACTAGAATGACCAGCTCACAACAAAATAAATTTGGAGCCAAAGTTACATGTATTTTACCGGATCTTTTTTTTTTTTTTTTAGGTAGTAGCCAAGCAGATCGAATTGTTTTGTTGCACTGCTTTATTTTTCCTTCCAAATAGATGATGGTTTCTCACCTAGAAGTGAAAATGGAACTCACCAAAGATTTCTCTCTCTCTTTTTTTTTTTTTAATTTTTTCCATTTGGGAGGGAGGGGTGGGGAAGGAGAGAGAGCGGGGAGGAGTTCAGTTTCACTTAGGAATGGCAATTGGGGCGGGGGACCCGCCTCGTCACACGTTAAAAAATTAATAAATATATAAATATATATGTATCTAATTATATATATAATATTTAATATAATTAGTTACAAAATTATAATAATGATATTATTAGTTATTGTATTATATATTGTATATTAGTGCATGTAATATAATTGCTCTTATTAATTATACTAATAATTATATGAGTAAATCTTATATACACTGACGGTGTATACACTATCACAGTTGGATATACGACACATATGCAAAATTTGAGTTTCAAATTCAAATTCAAATTATGTGTCATGCATCTAATGGTGAAAGTGTATACATTGTCAGTGTATAGAAGATTAATCCTAATTATACATGTCTACTAATAGAAATTATTAATTAGTTATACTAAATTTACTAATACATTTGTACTAAATTTCCAATTATACTTAACACAATAACACTTTTTTCTTAAAAAAAAAGCACCATAATGACTATGTGAGGACCCGAATTTTTCTTATTTATATTTTAGTTTACTGGCTTAATTAATTATTTACTCACCCGTTTTCTCTGAATAATTTATTTCAATCATTTTAAACTTATTTACGTGGAATAATGTCTCAATTATATTATTAACACGTCTCGTTAGTAAAATTAATTTTTCTAGGGCTCGTTTAGCAAGAAATAAGGAATACACGTTTTTCGAGACTATGTTCGATCCGAGAGTACACTAATCTTGGAGAATTAAGAATGATCAATAGTAAATTAAGAAATGTTAATTGAGAGATTAGATGCGAGTAAGTTAAAATTAAACTTATACCGTGCGCGCGTCGAAAGTTTTTCGAAAGACGCGCTGGTACAAATTAATTGGAGATTTGAGGAATTAATACTAGACTCATGTGAAAACTCATGTTTTTTTATTTCTAAAATAGTTATTTTCATGATTATTTACCTTAGTATTAGTTAGTTATATCATCGTTACAAGAATTCCTTAGAAATTTCGCTCTATCGCGCACAAATCGGAAGTACGCGTTTTCGCACGCGCAATTAATTGAGAGACTTTAGATCTTTATTTTTAGACTATTAAAAGTGAATAATAATAGTATTAATGGAAGTGCATTAGAGATTTAGTGCACAAGTGAAACAAACCTGAGAGGAAACGAGCACGAATCGCACGCGTATGCGCACTATTCTTAGTTGACTTTTGGAATAATTTTGGCCACAAACTCTTAAGCTTCTCAAGGAAGCCTCAACCATCAGCCAACAACTCTTCTTTCTCTCCCTCAAGCAGCCGTGCAACACCAAG